GCCCAATGACCCAATGCAGCGAGTTCAATTTTTTCGTGCCTTACAGCAAATTCTACCATCAGATGCCCCGGTCATCATGTGTGGGGATTTCAACATCACCCTTGATCCGGGGGTGGATAGGAGATCATCAACACCACCGCAGCAACTCTCAGGTGTGGGGGCCCAACGGGGAAAACCCCCGGATAGCATAGTGTTGGCCCAACTAATGGCAGACTTGGACTTAATAGATTCTTATAGAGAGATGTTCCCTAATAAAAGAACCTACACATGCGTCAGATCTCAGGGTCTGGTGGGAGTGTCTAACTCCAGAATTGACCTCACCCTTATCTCAAAAGACCTGGCTGGTTTGCCAACCACGTCAGCAATTCTCCCGTTTTCTCCCTGTAAATCATTTGCCCATCGCATGATAGCGATAGGTCTTTCCCTCCACACTCACATCACTAGGGGTCCAGGTTACTACAAATTTAATACGTCTCTTCTAAAGCTCCAATCGTTCGAACAGCAAGTTAAAGGTTTTTGGGCTTATTGGTCATCAACGAGACCCGACGATGGCTCAATAGTCGAAAGGTTCAACGAGGGGGTGGCAGAGCTAAGAGAAAGAGTTAAAAAATTCTCCATTCAGAAAGCAAGAGAACGCAAAGCAGTTTTGGATCGCCTGCTGCAACAACTGGAGGACTGGGACATGCACCTGACTGAAAACCCTTTAGACATTGAAACTTTCAACACCCTTCCGCGTGCCAGAAGCCAGCTACAAGAGCACCTAGACATGCAAGCACAAAAGTGGGAAATACAGGCTAAAATTAGGAAGGACGCCACAGAAGGAACAATGTCCAAAACTTTTTTCAGTAAGGCAAAAGCCAAAAAGAGACAGTCTACGATACCCTCCCTTAAAAAATATCCGTTCGACGCTTCCCAACAGCCAGCAACAAATGCTTACAAAATAGTGGAATATGCGTCTCTTTATTACACAAACTTGTACACCTCACAGACAACGTACACTCAACCACAGACGCTTGCTCATGCAAGGAACACATTGTTGACAGCGCTTCCTTCCCTTCTGTCATCAGCACAGAGGAATACTCTCGACGAACCTATGACCAACCGAGAAATTCTTCAGGCAATACAAGATATGGACGACGAGAAAACACCTGGCTTGGATGCATTCCCAAAAGAGTTTTGGCTTCACTTCTGGGAGGTTTTCCAAAACGACTTTGTCATGTATGTCAACGCCGTATTTCACAAGGAGACATTCGGGGGCATGCTGGGACAAGGGGTGACAACGCTGCTATACAAAAAAGGGGACAAAGAGGATATTAGGAACTATCGTCCTATAACCCTCCTGCCCGTCCCCTACAAGATTGTAGCTAAACCATGGGCAAACAGACTGCGGCCCCTCCTCCCCCACCTCATCCACCCGGACCAATTGGGCTTTATGCCGTTCCGTAACATACAAGACAACATCCTGCTGGTTAATGAAACCATCCGCTACGCAAGGCAAAGGCGTGTGGAGGCAACTATATTGTTCATAGATTTCGAAAAAGCATACGATCACGTCGATTGGGACTTCCTCGACATGTGTTTAGTCAAAATGAACTTTGGCCCACTTTTTTGCAAGTGGGTCAATACTTTCCACAGAATAGCCTCAACGAATATTACTCTCAACAGTCACCTTGCTCCCCCCTTCTCTCTGCAACGCTCGGTAAGACAAGGTGACCCCATTGCACCTATGTTATTTGCTCTAGTTATGGAAGCATTAGCGGCCATGATCAGAAATAACCCTGACATCCAAAAAATCCGAGTGCTCAAAATTCCGGATCAATTGATCCCGGTTACCTCAATTTTTGCAGATGATCTCACAGTTTTGTTCAGAGCTAACCAAGAGAGCTTCCGTGCAGTGGCTCACACTGTCCATTTATTTGAGATTGCAGCAGATATGAAAGTTAACTGGGGAACAAAAATGGAAGGCTGGTGGCTGCACCCCCAGGGAGGGCCTCCACCGACCGAACCTCAAGTGGCTTGGAAGCACAAAGAATCAGCAATAAAGGTGTTGGGAGTAAACATCACAGCATTGGGCCCGCCACCGGACCATGGTGATTCACTGGTGGAACTAGCAATCACAAAGCTCTCGAACTAGGATGGCAAACCAACCTCACTAATTGGCAGAGTGCTGGCAATTAACAACGCCATATTTGCTTCCATATGGTATAAGGTGGCATTCTGGCAGCTCAACAGAAAGCACATCACCAAGTTTAAACAGGTGGCGACGGCATACCTCTGGAAGAATAGCCACAACGACACCCGTGCCCTAAAAAGGGTGGCATGGGACACCCTCATACAGCCCAGGTCACAAGGCGGGCTAGGAATAATTGACCCAGAAGAGGAAATCAAGGCGTTGCTCTTCAAAGTCTTGATCCGCCTCCTTCTGGGGAACAACATCCCCTGGGCTCCGTATGCCTACATCCAGCTGCACTGCATAACACCCCCCTCTAACCCCCTCTGCCCGGTTCATCCGCTGCAATGGCTGGTCAACAGCAGCTGGTCCTTGCCTGTGGCCCCGCGAGGGGTGGGGGATCTTTCACCAGAAGAAATCGCAAAACAAGACCTCAAAGTCGACCCATTATGGCCAGCATTGCTTAAACTATGGAGAGAAAGAGGGCCGCAGCGTACCCCCACACCCCTTAGATGGGAA